GCCGCCGACGCGGCTCTGGGATTGTAACGCCTTTGACGAGAGCAGATGGACGGCGTACATCCGCGAGCACAAAGCCAGGCAGGTCCGCGGCCAGCAGTATGCCACTCAGTGCCACACGGATTGTTACTCGCGCTCGGTGAACAGCTCTGTCGATTTATGATATCCAGTATATTGAAAATAAATTCATATTACCAAGGTAGCTTGACTGGCGTTCAGTCGTATTTCATATTCTATCACATGCTTTGACATCTAAAACCCAACTAAAATGATGCTTGACACCAGGCAGCACACAGATCACTGACACAATAATATATCCAGGCTAGGTCCACTAAGGGACCTCCCTTGCGCCACCCACCACCAGGTGGCCGGTCGCCAGCCCGCGGCCGCCCGCCTGGCGATGCAGCGACAAAGTGCGCCCGAGCAGGTGCCGACACGGCTGGCGGCCGGTCGGTGGATAGCTGTCGAGTCCAACAACGGACCTCCCGGAGACTTGGATCCCTTAGTCTGGTGTAAACGTAGTAGGTGAGAGTGTGCGGTAAAAAGGAAAGCTGTAATGCAGCGGCAAAGTGCACCCGAGCAGGCGCCGACACGGCTGGCGGCCGGTCGGTGGATAATTGTCAAGTCCAACAACGGACCTCCCGGGGACTTGACTCCTCAATCTGGTTTAAACGTAATACGTGAGAACGTGTGGTAAAAAAGCTGTAGCGATCGTCTCATCTGTTTCCGGGACCACTCTAACCCGTTAGGAGACACCATTTCGGGTGGATTGCTCCAAATCCAGTAAGGGACCTTCCTCCTGTGTAGGTCTCAGACCGGCCAAAACGGCACAAACATGGCACGTGTGCACGCAGGTGACACAGAGACATGCTTCGACTATTCTACCACATTGGGGACTAAATATGCTTGACTTAAAAGAGAAAACACGGCATTTGCAAGAGGGTATACAGAAGATAAGAACCCAACCTAACCCAGCCTAGCCTAACCTAGCCTAGCCTAGTTGAGCCTAGCCCGACCTAAACTAACCTAACCTAACCTGGCCTGGCCTGGCCGGGCTTGGCCTAGCATAGCCTAGCTTGGCCTAGCCTAGCCTAGCCTAGCTTGGCCTAGTCTAGCCTAGCCTAGCCTAGCCTAACTTGGCCTAGCCTAGTCTAGCAAAGCCGAAGCCAAAGCCAAAGCCAAAACTAAAGCCAAAGCCAAAGTCAAAGCCAAAGCCCAAGCCCAAGCCACCTAACCTAAGCAAACCAAGCCAAACCTAACCAAACCAAATCAAACCAAACCTAACCTAACCTAACCTCACTCAACTCACTTCATCACACACGTACCATGTTTGCCCCGTTTTGGCCGGTCTGAGACCTTAACTGAAACGTGGCCCTTTACTGGACTTAAAGCAATCCACTCGAAATGGCGTCTCCCAACGCGTGAGAGTGGTCCCGGAAGGCGATGAGACGGTCGTCACAGCTTTCCTTTTCACCACACATCCCCACGTTCTATGTCTGCACCAGATTGGGGGTCAAAGTCCCCGGGGGGCCCTTGTTAGACCTGGCAATTATCGACCCCCCCGGCCGCCAGCCGCTTCCGTGCCTGCTCGGGTGCACTTAGTCGCCATACCGCCAGGCGGGCGGACGCGAGCTGCCGGCCGGCCACCTAGTGGCAGAAGACGCGAAGAAGATCCCCTAGTGAAACTAGCCTAATGTAGCTGTATGCGAGGTTCCCACAGTAAGAGATATCCAAGAACATCCTGCCCAGAATGACCGTGGTAATACCAGCGATGCCAGCCCAAGTAGTACGTCGAACCTAATGAATGTGGCCCTGAACAAAGTTCAACTTTAAAGAAAACGCGGTAGATCCTGTCTTGCCGACCTTGACGTTGAAAGGGCTGAACTTCTCTGATACTGCGTACCGGTCCAAGATTTTGTAGTCTACCTTTTTTAATGTGATCTTCCATACTGATATGCTGATAAGTTTCTGGCCAATTTGAGGGGTCCACAGAATCCCGAATATGGACCTGAATCTGAATGTAAACGTGGTGCTAACTTGACGAATGCGCGTTTGTATCATGCTTTGCTTTGCTGTGGTGTTTATGTAAGTTCCGCTGTTCCGTTGTCTCGCCTCCGGCTCACTAGTGCACACGGCACGTTCAAAGTCACTTCTGTATTTGGCACTCACCACAAGCACTCCATAAAGTCCGTCCCGCCGGCGCGGCCGTCCTCGCGCCGGCGGCTCCCCAAGTTTTTTCTCGTTACTCTGTCCTCTCCTGAACCCCGCAGCCGCGTCCCCCACACTGGCCTCTAAGCGGCGCGCACCAAACTACGCAAACATTCACCTGTTAGCACGTAGATGTTTCTGACACCTTACACTACACCCTTCTTAAAAGAAGAATACTTTCGCAGTTGAATTATTCAGCTATGACATAATAAATAAAGCCATGGCATCATGAACACAGATCTCACGGAACAAACATAACGCACACAGCAAGCGAGGCCCTTAAACGATATATTTCACGTCATGGCAACTAACCCAAAGAACATGTTAGCACAAACAATGCAAATACACTATGAATCCGTGTTTTGCATCCAGCTATCGCAATCATGCGCTAAATCGATCTGGAGGCCGTCCGACTCGGGCGCTCCGCTGTTCGCGATGACCGTTTGACGACGGCTGTTCTACAGACACTGGGATCCAGGACCTGGACGCATTCGAATAGGGACTCGGACTTGGGGGTGGTTCATTGGTTCGCGCCAGGTTACGGAAGGACAGTGGTGCCGTGGGCCGCGGGGTACGTGACCTGTGCGCCGGGATAGGGCAGGGGGTCGGTATCGCTGATCTTGCCGGCTAGTCAGGCAGGTCCGTATCTCCGTCACTTTCGACGAATGCTGGACCCACAAAAGACTTGTCATCAGCATAACCTTCAATGACGCGTTCCGCCCCTAAGCGGCACCTACTAGTCCTGCCGTACTACCACGCCGCAGACCGACAGACCCTCCCGGCTGGCTGCGCCTCCCACTCCGTCTTTGTCTGGATGGGTCGGCTCCCTTTGCTCACTCGTGGCCCGCTGTACCTGACCTACGGAGGGCGGCGGCCCAGCCGGGGTTGTTCTCGCGCAGTCCGGAGCCTGAGTTCGCTGATGGGCCGGCGCCGACTGGGCTGGCGACGGAAACACGAGGCGGCAGGACGTGTAATCCATCAGACAGCGAGACCGTCGGAAAAGGTCCCGAACCAAAAACGGCTCATTCTTGGTGTTGCCACTAGGATCAGAGCAGCAAAAGCATTGAGGTCAGCGATAAACGCGGGTACCGATTGAACGACACCACTGAATTCGAGAACTGGGATTTGGATGCTGAAAGATGCCATGTTGGATCGCAACAAAGCAATACAGGGTTTTTTCGTGACCGATTTTAGACAAATACGTACGACCTACTTAAAATAAAGCCGTAACACCGGCCAAACAATCACAAGACATTTGAAAGTCCAAACATAAGAACACGACAGTTGTACGATTAATTCATGTCGCTCAAAACTGACGAATGCAAGACCTCACACCCACGACTGCTGGGGCCGTTCCGTGCGCAGTGGAGGGGGTGTGGATCTTGGGAGCTGCCGTCGGGCCCTGGGCAGAGAGATGCCCTTATTGAGTTTGCGGCGAGTGCTCTGCTGTCCCTCTCCGGGTAGCAGTGACGAGGTGGCGTCGGGAAGGCGGCGGGCAGGTCCTGGGCGGAGGCTGCCGAGTCGGTTTACTGAGACGACTGAGAGGGGTCCGTTTCTGGTGGAGGTGGTCACAATGCGGTTCCGGTGCCTCGCCTCCGGCTCACTGGTACACACGGTGCGTCCAAAGTCACTTCTGTATTTGACATTCGGCACAGGCACTCCACACAGTCCGTCCCGCCGGCGTGGGCGTCCTCGCGCCGGCAGATTTCCGAGTCACTCGGAGAGCTGCCGGCGAGAGAAGAGTCTTCTCTTTGCTACTCCCTCCTCTCCTGCCCCCCCCCCCCCCCGAGGCCGCGTTCCTCGCACGGGGCACATGGGGCGGGAGGATAGGAACGCCAGCGCCTGTAAGCGGCGCTCGCCAAACTACACAAACATCCACCGACTGGCACATAGGTGTTTTCTGACATCTTACATTTGCGTAGTGTGACCCGAAAAATGGGGATGCGTGAAAACCTTGCATTTGACGCACAGTTGAAGATCGTGATTTTGTAAAAAAACATTGATTGATTTGATTGATCTTGCAAACAAGCCAAACTGGATATATGCAAGCAGCTGAAGTCGCTGAGACTCTCGGGCTTGAACGTACCTGGTGCCCTTGCTCTGTGCATACATAGACATGATTGGGATGCCGGCAGTATAGTGGTTGACGCGTCTGCGTTAACCACCGCGCGTCTGGGAAACCAGAGGTACGGGATTCGACTCCCCGCGGTGCCCGCCCTCCTGCCAGGGTGAGAGGCAGGCGACGCCATATAGACTCGGCAGCTGAGTGCGTCGTAAAGCCCCAGTGACACATACATAGGCACGATCCAGATGTTGGTGAGGCAGGACATAGCCAAGGGTTTCCAGGTTCTGTGTAGCCTTGTTCACGCTTGATGGTTCAAAGTGGGCTCGGTTTTGGATGACAGCTCAAAACCTCTTTAGGGGAAATATGGAAATATGGGTTTGGTACATGCGGCTAGACAATATCAGGTGGGAGTGGAAAAGGAGTGAAAAATTCCTCTCCATAGGGTGTTGCTTTACACACGAAGTCCGCAATCCTACGACACTGCCTGGAGGTAATGGGACCTTTTATGCTGCTGAGACCATATATCCAAGGCATATCTGTGCCGTTTTCCTCGCATCAGCTCAAAAATCGTTCGCGTTCGGTGTATTCTCAACATGGTCTGAGTAAGGTCCTGGAAGCCGCGACACTTCTTTGTGACGTCAGATGTGATTTACACAAGCACACACGAGCCAACAGATACCGAGGCATCACGCCAGATGTCACAACATACCCCTTTCGCGACGATCCCCCCCCCCCCCCCCCCTGCAATCACATGTGGCTGCGGACGAGAAGTCCTGCGCAACACACCACCTGACATCGGGGAACAACAGCTGTTCTGCGGTCCCAACACACTGGGTGAGCACGCCCCCTCCTCAGTGCACCTGAAGAGACGCCGGTGAGACCGCGAAGTTTCGCAGCCAAGTGCAGGGGGGGGGGGGGAGGGGCGGGGGGCGTGCGACACTAACCGGGCCCAGCGCGTGTGAGCGACGCACGAGGTGCAGGCGCACGTGCGACACTCATCGGACCGTGCACGTGTGAGCGACGCACGAGGTGCAGGCGCAGGCGTCCCTCAGATCATAGGCTCGCACCAGGCGTGCGGTGGTGGGGTGAGTGAGCGAGACGTGACGTGTTGGCCGGCGGACAGAACGATCAGGCGACGCGAGGGCTGGTACGCCGTGGATGCAGTGACAGTCATGAGGTGCTGGTAAGTAAAACATGTTTACGGAGCAAGTACAGCTAACGAAGGTGATCTCAGTTAACACTTACTGGATTGACATTTGTCGATTCCGTCATCCAAACGCTATCACAAAACGACGTATGTGGATTCGACTTAACTTAGGTAAGCTCTGCATTTAATAAAAGTAGTGTCTTCTGCAGACACATAAAATCATTTCACGTGCGCGTGAAACACACTAAGGGCACACGTTGTAAACTGTGCACGATTCTCTCGTAAGATTCGTGTAAAGAGGCGCAAACCACCATCCAATTCCTAGCTACAGCAGCCTAAAATCAGCGCAGTCCGCGGTCCTGGCGGAAGCGCGACACCTTAGCGCGTGCCGCATGTCATGTAAAACTTTGGCACAGATCACCAACCGAGCGGGGAAGGCGCCCGAGCCTCGCACGGCGTCTGCAGCCAGCTGGGACTGCTTACGAGGCGATGACGTCATCACAGGACCGCCACCGCCAGCCAGCCCCGGGCACCAGCTACCCGCCACCCCAGGACACGCCGGCGCGGCGGCGGATGGAGGGCGGCGTGGGCAGCGATGCACCGCCATGGGGACCGGCAGCCCCAGCTTACCAACGCCATCGAGTCACGCGGATGAACACTGTCCGTGGAAGGTCTCGAGCTGGCGCACGCTGCCGACGTCAGTCGGAGCCGTCCAGCGGAGGGGCGCTCTCGCCGTAGCAGAACTTCACCTTCGTGTTGCGGTAGACGTTCTGGTGGCGCACGCTCTGCGAGCTCGTGCGACACTTGGTCAGACACAGCTCGAAGTGGTCCGTCACAGACGAGAACAGCAGGTTGAAGCGATGTGAGGCCTTGCCCAGCACGCTGTGCAGAAGCGGCTTCTGGGAACGTCCATAAAGAGCGCGTGAAATCTCGAGCGGACCGCTGTTAGCACACTGTTCCAGACTAACCTTAGCGGAATAAATGGGCGGGAGACAATACATCAATGGGATCACCACTTAATGTTCAGGCTTACCGGCGCCCAAAAAAAGGTTGCTCTGTTCATTAATGGAGCTACATCGTTTGTCGCCCGCTACGAAATGCTGAAAGTGTCTTAGTTTTACATACGTGCTTTACTGCTTGACCAGTAGTATGCTGTGGCGCCCTGGTCCCGTCAAATTCAGCCAGCTGTGAGGCGCGTGCATATTCCCGTAGTGGCAAAGTGTATGAGATTACATCAGTGTGTCCTGCTGACTGCTTAAGTATTCTCCATGCAGAGACTTTAGGAAGCCCAACGCACTTACAAAATCCAAGAACATTGACCAAACTGACCCAATGCGATCAATGCAACTTGCCACACCACACAATACGCAAGACAACGTCCCCGGCATGGGTCCGCTGCGTAGGCACGTAAAATGTAACAGCAAATTCCACCACTGGCTGTTGACCAGGTCCAATTACGCGACATCACCTTCGCTTCGACGCCGACGTTCTCTCTCAGCCCTGCCTGCGTTCCGACCTCGTCTTTTACTTCGCTTTCTGCATAGTACGCCGATCCTATAGCGCATATAGCGCACTTAGCGCGTTCTTGTGCGCACGCCCCGCACCTTGTCCGGGTGCAGGCAGCAGGAGATGCAGTGTTCGTACACGCTGCAGCAGCCCTCCTGCGAGCACGACTCGCACAGGAAGCGGCGCGTCGAGGCCGCCTCCTGGTCGCAGCAGCCGGTCGTCTCCAGGTGCTGTCGCTCGCACACGTGACCTGCCGCCACGGGGGAGGGGGCGGAGCTGTCAGCGGTGGCCACGAGCACGGCCGCCGATGCAGGCTCTGGCCGTGTCACGAGACCCGGCTGGGCTGAGCGTCAGCACATGCCCCGCTGCATCGAGGTCATAGTTTTCGGTATCATACGACTTGGATTACGCTGGCTCGAGTGAACGTACCTATGATCTCCATTATGCTGTTTAGAGTGAGCGTCCACCCTCAGCTGCGACCCGATTAAAATACACTTACCAGAGGCTGCGGCCATACACAGAGCCCAGAGCTGCGTGATAAAAACTTACAAGCTGGGCACCAGTCGGGCGTACACCATATCTTTGACTGAGAAGGTCTTAGGATGGTGCACAAGATAGCCTGACCTAGTTACTCTGCCCCGACCTCGGCGTACGCCACCCCGTGGAGCGCATCCCACGCGCGGCTCCGGCCGCCCACCTCGATCGTCAGCGATGAGGGCGACGCCCTGCACAGAGTTGCGGCAGCTCAGACCGTGCGGGTCGGTGTCGGAGCTGTTGGCGCCGTCCTCCGGCTGCAGGATCAGCGCCGGGTCGATGGGCACCGGGACAGCATCGTCTGGGTCGCTGACCAGACCCAACATCTTCTGCAATGGTATGGGATAGATGTGTTTAGGAAGCTTTGCAGTCTGCTTAGAACATTCTGTGGCCTATGATGATCAGCAGATATCGGGTGATATTTGTATGCAAAGGTCTTTCAAACAGTTTCAAACTTATGTTTAACAGATGATGTGACAATTTGAATGCAGCATGTCTTTATTCAATTTAATGCAATAAATTAAAATAATAATTACTACATTTCTTTCAGCACCTTGTTTATATATTTAACTGCAAAAAAGAAAGTGTAGAACAGTTTACATGACTACAGCTCACAAAGTTCCTTGACACTGGTTACAACAATCAGGCTAAGGTTCAGGGAAAGTCTGCATCTCACAATCTGGTCTGCTCTTCAAGTAGGCTAGGTACCAACTTTTGAACAATTGGCTGCTAAACCTTCAGAATGACAGAGCTGCAAATATTAAATAGCAGTAGGGGACTAGTAAAGGATGGCAATACATATGTCTAAGCTTAATGTAGTGGCCTGCGTCAAATATCAAGTATATACATTAAAATCTTGTTCAGCACATGTCACCCTGTCAATAGCATGGGATCGCCATGGAATAATTGCATGCCCCTGGTCTGCACCTACCAAAAAACTGATCTGTCTTATAAGTGGATAGTTATGCCTTGAACTTCTTAATTAACAGTATTTACTCTTACTGGAGTCTGATTGCATCATATAGGTCTAAAAAGTTATTGCCTTCAGCTTGCTACACAGGATGTGAGTACAGCCTCATAGTGCTTTTGCTATTGCAGAGTTTAATTTGGAAGCTTTGTGGCTTAAGATAGACATGGAGATATTTATACTTCTGGCCTTCTCAATACATTAAGTATAGGAACAGCTCACTGCATCATAATACAGCATCATATGAAGGATTGCAAGAAGCATATGAAGGTCTCTATGATCCTATGAACATTTTGCAAATTCTGGGCAAACTAATATGATTATCATTTGCTGTCAAATCATCATTTTCACACACTTCCCCATAATGAAACAGCTCACAGAAAACATCCAAATTCGTGATGTCAGCCAGCATTTAAAGCCCTTACTAGCAATGACCTCACCTGATCAAATAAATTCACTAAGCAATATACCAGGGACAGTAACAATATGACAGCCAAGACAGGTGGCTTCCTAAGCAAGCGACAGAACTTCTGTCCAAGCCAAGCTATCATCTTAAGTAATGACTACATTTCACACGAAAACGAAAACCGAACCAGCGAATGTAATTCACACATATTTATGTCCAATTGCACCACAGCTATCCCCTGGCGCCCTCTCCTATTTCCGACCATAAACACGCTTGGTAAATCCAAAGCGCATAAATCGACATCGAAGTTTTTTGGCATTTTCTTAACATGGATAAATTAATTGTTTACGATGACGTCTTTCAATCAACTCTGATGCTTTGCACACATCTTGTGTAAAGTGTATGGGATATTAAATTATTAAGGTGAAAAAACACTTATTTTAAGAGATTTTTTTACTAAATTTGGTTAATTATGCAAATTGTGCGGACAAAACTTAATATCGAATATAAATGATGTCATCCAAAGCATTACCCATCGTTTTCAACTTTTTTTTTGCACAGAGCTACAAATATGACTGCTTAGGGACTTAAATTGCGCATTAGTAACAGTCGGTTGCATGGCCCCACGTTCTGCGGGGAAGTGAAGGTGATGTCATGAGAGTTGCGTTGCACGGAAAATGAACGTGTAGAAGGTTCAGTGGCCTCTGTCCTATTTCATCGAGATTGTTGCAAAATGGTTGTGTTTTTTGTGAATGTTGGTGCCAAAAAGATGCAATTGGAGCCATGCTCGTCCGAACAATTTGATAGTGGTTTAGCGAGTGTGCGCGAAACAAAGCCATTAAGAGCAACAGGGCGACAGATATGATACAACTGATTTGGGTGGGAGTGCTCGGTTTGCTAAAGGAATATGAATCAGGTGGACCACATTTCCTGGCATCCTAGCATTTGTGGGGTCCTTAGTGAATGTAGTGCTGGATTCATGGACATGATCCTTATGGCATGCATGATGTGTTGCATGACTGTTTTAAGTGCTGGTTACTGTCCTAGTGGGCATTTAGTTCAGAACTTAGTAGCAATGAGTTATTAAACAGTTATATGACAATATTTCATGTTTCACAAAAGCTGAACACATCAAACATAGCAAAATCTGAATACATGTTTGCTTCAGAATTGTGAAAACAACGTAGTGCGATCAAGTTGAAATTAACACCCTATGTTGCATTTCAGATGGATGAACTCAACACAGTAGAGAGCCCTATTGTGGCTCTCACAGAAATCACAAAGGAAAAATTAGCATTGTTGCTCAATGGAAAGAAAATCTTACCATCAGATGATGGCTTTCCAAGGTGATTTGACTCAGATGTGATCAAATGTGATCAAGGGTTTATTGCAAACCCTTCTTCCTTTATTTAAGCTAATTTTAGGATCTACCAAATCATTTTGAGCAGATCTTACTTCTGTGCTTGTTTGATGAAATGGCTGAGGTAACAAAAATAATGTTTGGTTACACAGTCCTGTAAGCTTCTTACTTAAGCACTAAACTTTTTTAGCAGTGCAGTTCAAAAATCACATCAGGCAGGTAGAATTAGCAGTATAAGATGATTTCTATCACCATTCATTAGCTGCATGACCTACAGCAGCTGATGTGCCCTAAGACACCAAATCACCATTCATAGTTCATGATTATTGGGTGCCCCTCATATTTGTTCTCATATGTGCTCTGATTTTGTTGAAAGGACAAGACCTTGCGGCACAATTTTTTATGGTGATGTGTGGTCCACTCTGTGTCTGGCAGGCACAACAAATCAAACAAAAATATTTGATTCCAGAATAACATTTTAGCAGTTTTTATAATAACTGCTGCCTAGATGTGCAAATCTGTGTTTTTAGGTTTGTTGACAATATTTGCTTTATGGAGCTTGATTGCATGCTACCTTAAGTTGGTTATTTTTGTGTATTTTGGGTGGTTTAACATCATTGAAAGCTTGCTTTTAAACTGGTAAAGACTTTGGTGTCAACCAACAATTCTGTACTTACTAGCTATTTTCAGCCCAATGCCATGATGCTACAGGTATTGTCAGATGAGACATCTTGATAACCTTTTGCCTGTGGTGGTGCAAAAGGTATATCATAACTCATGTGCATGAGGTGTGTTTGCTTATGATGCATCAATTATGCATGCTCTCCTGCATTTAGGATCCAAACAATCAAAGTTATGAACACTTCAGTAAGTTAGATTTTCTTTAGCAGTCTATTGTATGCCCTGGATGTGCAAACTTAAGTCTAAAAATCACCCAGTCACCCAACAGATTTTCAATGGACTCCTCCATGGCACTGAGCCATGTTGTATACCCTAGTCACATAAAACCAAGTCCAAAATCGCCCCACTGCCTGTGAGCTTCATGGCTCATCCTGTCTGCGGATCTGGACCGGGCGCGTCATGACCCCCAACCGGCGCCGCCCACGCCGCAGGGACTGGCGCGGCGTGGCGCAGTGTCTGGACTGCGACAACGACGTGGTGCAGCAGCTGGGACGGTCGGCCAGTCCGACGGTGGCGCTGCTGGAGCGGTGCCGCGCCCGACCCGTGGCCGATCTCTGGCGAGCCCTGCAGGACGTCGGCCGGTGGGATGTGCAGGACGACGCCCGCTACATGATCGGTGGGTGCCGCGGGCCTGGCCTGGGCGACCGAATGTGGCAGGCTGGTGTCAGGTGTGGGGAGTGTGGCGGGAGTATGCGCCGCACTGGAATGTGAGGGTCATCTGGTTCAGGGAACAGGTCGTTGGGTGTCCCACTGCTGAGTCGATTTAAGGTATGTCTGAAATTGGCTTGATCTGTGTGTGCATCTAGATATTCACTAACCAAACTGTTGAGTGTTAGACTGTGCTTCTTGCCATCCCATCTAAGTTTTAGCAACGACAGCAACGTTTCCTCGGGTGACGGTTCGTGTCGCGCCGCGCCGCTGGTACGTCAGCGACGTGCCGCTGCCCTGATGAGCTCGAGCTGCTGGTGACCGGTGGGCGGCTCCGGCAGAGGACGACGTGAGGCTGTACCAGGAGCGGCTGAGCTCATCCGCCGCTACCAGCAGCGCCGTCTCCCTGCTGCCCGGCCTGAACGACGCTGACCTGCTCTGCGTCGGTTAGTCCGTCGTGTCGGCTGTCTAATCATCTGCTGCTAACTACTGTGTGCACCGGGATGTGTTGCGTCGCTCTCGTCTCAGGCACGTGTGGGTGCGATTTCATGTCACTCAGACAGAGATCTGGGCGAGCCTAACGTCGGTGCTTGGAACGCTGTTGCTCGTGAGCAGCCTGACATATGGCATGCCATTTTTTGCCGAAGGTGATGCCGAATGTCTGCGCGCCGGCCGGCCGCTCCCCACCTTCGATGCCTTCCTCCTCTACGACGACGGTGACACTGAGTTCGCAGCGCAAATCATTGAGCGTATGGAAGCCAGGGGAATCAAGGTACGCCGAGCTGGGTCAGGTGCGGCTTGTTTGAAGCGCTTACGTGATTTGCTCCGGTATGACCGTACATTTCGCGCGTGTGCATTACGCTGCAGAAATTGGGTTGCAAGAAGCAGAAAGCATCAGTGCAATCTGCCAGGGAACTTTACGTACAGGCTGATGTAATAAGGGACTTTGGTCTCAAGTATGTAAACAGTTTGAAAATACAGAAATATGCATGCAGGTTAGTTCCATACAGAACTATAGCAGCACTTCGGTTCGATACTGCCGACACGTAGCAAAACACGAGGCGGTGGCCAGCTGGTGGCGGGGAGGGGGGGGGGGGGGCGAAAGACCAAGTGTTGTATTGTAAGTAGTACTTTCGAACGGTTTATGCAATGAATGCATGCGATTTTGCGGAATCGCCGGGCGTATATGTTAACGAACCTACCAAATTTTAGTGGTATCTAGATGGTATTGCTGTGACTGCGAATGCCGTTCCAAGGATTAATCTTTAAATTCCACCTAGGAAAGTATGCGCTCAAACTTACCGCTATTCTGTGCAGCTTGATTACATAAAGCACTTCGAGGCCCTTTTTCCCGGCGTGTGGTCGTTTCCGCTCATCCGTCGCTCTTCGCGTGATGTTAACTGCTGCGGCCAACGCCGCTCCGCCGAAGAAGACCAACGCCGGTTGAATGGGCAAAAGTGCGCTCTTATGAATAAGCCAAGACTCAATTATAAGTTGTCATATCTTAAGGTATATAGATCTCCAAAACGTATGCTTACACCGGAAAATATTTGAACCAGGGTTGAGGTCTGAAACCTGCGTTTCGGCCCACAATTCGATGTGCCCTGGCTGACAGTGGCACCGACACAAACACAGTCCGGTGTTCGAGGCACATAACGTACCGGCTGGCTTCTTGCGGGCGACCTCACTAAAATAACATGGGGCTCGTTCCGCATGGTTTGGCCGCAGTGAACAGCTTGCGTCTGCGCAAAATGCGCAGGCTTACGTCCTCAATGCCGGCTGCGCACTTCAGCGGTTTTACCACCTGTCATCCTGCATGTGTTTAATACCGGCGTCAAAAGTTCATCAGGAGTTGAACACCCGGCCTCCGGCACGAACTTTGATGGAAAAAGCGGAGGTTTGCACGTGGACGCACACCAGCCTTGATGTTTTCATTGACACGTGATCGGAGAGTGACGTCCATGATTGTGACCCGTCCGACGTCAGCTTCACGGCTGGTTCCGTCCGTGCTGCTTCTGAATTGGGGGGGGGGGGAGGGAAGATGGTCACCTCCATTTCAGTCTGCGCCGTGAATTGAAGGGGATCGGTCCGACAGTAAGTGACCTTCAATATATCAGGAAGTACTGGGGAAACGACGGGGGTCTCGCTCGGTTCTCCAGGGTTTTTCATACAAGAGTGCAAAACAATACATAACTGCAGGCATGGAAAGTGAAATGAAGAAATTTCCTCTACATGACTTAATGCATCTTTTCTAAAATGGTGGGACAAACGTTTTGGCAACGCCACGCCCGCGAACCTATCTCTGCGAAATAGCAAGGATTTACCGCCTTTTTGCGGACGTGTTCTTGTTACATGTCATCTGCAACAATACCGATATCCGTTTGCGCAGACCGTTGCCTGTGAGGCTATAAGAGATGCGATTTAGCCGGCGTCTGCGCATTGTGGGCGGACATTGCCAGTGTTATATCGCCGCCTGTGAAGGCGTTTCGTAGCCTCGCTTGCCGGGTGCTGCCCGAGCGTGACGCCCTGACTGTGCTGACCTCTGCCGGCCAGCTGTGTGATAAGGAGCGCCACCTTCTGCCCGGCGTGACGTTCGAGCACCAGGGCATCATCCGGCTGATGGAGACGCGCTGCCACCGCGTGCTGGCCGTGCTATCGCCGCAGTTCCTCCAGTCGGCCGTCAACAAGTTCCTGGCCATGTTCGCGCAGGCGCTCGGACTGGGTACGGACTGCTGGAGACGGAGGGGTCCGGTGTGTGGCCGCCGTGGGGACGTGGGTGTTATGGCAGAGGCTTCACACTGAGAAACACATCTTTGGGTGCGTCTTTGTTGGGTTCTGTTTCCTCACGTAGGTGTTATCCGCGCATACTGTAGGTGGTGATTTGTGTACCTGCAGTTATGAGAAAATTAGGAAGTTATCACCCCCGCCCTGGCTGGTGTAGAAGTGACTAGATGTCACGGACGTTTTGATATAAAAAAATCCGTTATATCAACGGCACCTCGGCAGCATGCGCCATCGGCGGCCATCCAACTGATGTAGATATTTCCCGCAAATGTCGCCATATGAACGGACTCTGCCGCCACCTCCACTCTGCGGGACCCGGTCGCGTGTTTCTGGGCGGCCGGCGCGCCGTGCCTCTGCGCGGCTGTGCGGCTGGTGTACAGACCGTCGGCTGACCACCGCTCCGTGGCCGCTGCAGACAAGCGCGGTCGCATGCTGCTGCCGTGCGTGTACCAGAAGTGCACGCTGCCGTCGTACCTGATGTACTGCTCGCGGCTAGACTTCACGCGCGGCGTGGGCCTCGTCAACGCCTGGGACAAGATGTACGAGACGCTCAGTGTCGCCATGGTCACCCGCACCAGGTACCCACTAGCCGATCGCCGCGTCTGTGGTCCGACCATGGCTTGAGGCGCGTGTCGGCTAGCTTTCAGCTGGTTATCTTGTTCCCCAAGATCTGCCGTTTGACGAGTAGGCACTCTCTCTATTTTTAAGGCGGCCATTCACCATTGTTCATATTCTTTTAGATAATACAAGCAAACCGTTTGTTTAAATCGTCGTGGTGGCGTTGCGTATGAGACGTATGCGCGATGCAAACGGCGGCGGTGAGATCGTACATAGCTACAGAAGATGGTTCTCCGACTGCCTCCAGTTGCTGTTAATGATGGGTCCTGACCGCCAGGCGTGTGGGGCAGTAAGTGCTGTCAGAAGTCCACGTCCCGCCCAATGTGTCCGGTGTTCGATGCTGCGCCGTGCTGTGTTGGCGACGCTCCGTGCCAGCCCCCGCCACTAGCCTAGTCGTGCCGCCGCAGGTCAGCGTCTCACTCCGTGACGGACGCGCTGCCGGCGCCGGCCGCCGCCAAACCTCGCAGCGACTCGACGCCGTGCTGCGCGTCGACACCGCCGGACGACCCGCCCGCTGCCGAGACGTCGGCCGGCGAGTCGTCGTGGTCGGGCCGCGCCTTCCTGCGCAATCTCAAGAGCCGCCTGCGTAGCTCCGAGAGCGCGGACCCCGCCGAGCAGCAGGTGGGCGGCGAGGCCGACGGAAAGGCCGGCCAGGAACGGCGCGCACACCGCCCCAAGCTCTTCACTGCCAAAGACAAGCAGAAGACGAAGGCGAAGCGCGAGAAGAAGAAGGAGGCGAAGGCGCTGATGGCCGCGTGATGTGACTAGCCGCCCGGCCACGGACGGGCGCGGTCTCGCAGTAGGCGCTGTGAGGCGTGAGCAGGGAAGGGGAGGGGGAGGCACGGGATGACTTCGGACCGATCTCTGCTCCCCGAGAGGCGGCCCACTGGCCGCCGAGTGATGACTCCGGCAGTACTTGTTGACGTGGCGGTGCCGTTCGATTACGTTTTGTTTTAGTGGAAATGTCTGCTGTCGTAAGGTAGGAATATTACCACCGGATATGCGTGCATTTGTTATGGAGAGAGGCGGCAAGTCACTTTGTACTGAAGCATCGACTTCAGCTGATTTGTGCAACTGCAAGGCAAGGGATGTCGTTGCCACCGGTCCTGGGAAAGCAGGCGTGCTCTGGTGGTTGCCACGAACAGTTGGACATGTGACTATTTTTAGGTTGAACGGGTGGCGGTCTCTGCACAGACTGCACTGCAGACTGCACCCACTCACGACGTTCGGCCGCCGCTGCCGCCTCGGTGCTGACTCCGAATAGGATGGTGTCCGCGGGATCTAGTCAGCGGGACTGCGATTTGGACACCAGATGGCAGCACTGCGCTGGTGCGAGGTGTGATCGGGCGGCAAGCCGCGGATCCGTGGGCCGACTCCTGTGATGAACCCGGGGCCCAGCGATCTTTCGGAGGCACTGGCCTGTGATTTGTGGAACTGCTGAAGTGGCACTCGACTGCAACCGTTAGAGGTTTGTTAAATCGGCAGGTTTCGACATGTTTATAAGATCAATAATGTTGAAATACATAATTTTTTGTACCAAGACTTTTATTGGGATCAAGTTGGTGGGAATCGCTGGTGAGCGCCACTGACATACTTATGTCGAAATAATCGACGGACAGGAAAGCAAAGTTACGTTGTGGCTGACGAACTACTACAATGATGCTGGATTTAAACCCCAAAAACGATTTTGACAACTCCTTTTACTGATTGAAGAATTGACGCCAAAGGTTGCATGACCAAAACCACGTTTGAGAGGATGGTGCGTGGCAGATTTAGGCTCAGGGCGGACCATTTTCTGTGGCCACTAGTTAACCGAAAGGTGGACTTCGAGCAGGCGCCCTCCCATGTCGGTGTCCGGAAGAGCCTCCGATTGGACAGCGCAGGCCTGCTCCGCGGCTTCTCACATAAACGGCAGGGATCGTTCGCAATACCAGCTGACCTGACCTAGCCCGTTTCTTCAGGAGGGCGGCTGTGACCCAAGTGTTCTCTCGCGACCTGACTCGAGGCCCTAGATGGGCGGCAACGACCTAGGCCCCACGCCACCCCCGTCCGAACGCGTCGCGGGCGTTGTCGGCGACGCAGCCTCGTCTCGGTTCGGCTCGGCCGGCGTCGCCTGCAGCAGCGACCGCCGTCCCACCGGCGGCAGCGAGGGCGTCTTCCTGACGGGCACCTCGGCCTCGGGCGCCGCTGCCGAGCTCAGGCCCCCCGACGGCCTCTGCGCGGCCGCTGATCCACTGGGTTTGGCGGGCAGCGCCGCGGTTCCGCTCCGCTCCTGAACGAGGTCAGACTGAGACCCGCGCCGCTCCTGGGCAGCGTCGGGCAGGTGCTTGTCGGAGCCGCGGTGCTCGGCGTCACTTTGCGGCACTTTGAAGAGGGTTTGGTCCTGCTCCTGCGACTGGCGTCGCTCCTGCCGCATGGAGAGGCGCCGTTCCAGCCGGTCCGTCACCTGGAGGCTGGACGGGTCTGCCCAGGTCGATGTGTCGATCGTCGCTGCCGAGCAGAATCAGTCAGACAACGCATAGCCGGGCCGTCTGCTGTGCTTTGCCCGAGTTCGCATTTGCATTAGTGGGTGCATTTGTGCGGCTCTGCCCGGGTGCTACAAAGTGAGCATGCACAATGCTAGTGGCGTGTCTGCCGATCGGAGACTGCATCGACACGTAATCATCCTATTCTGGAGAATCACCCGAGCCTGAATGTTTTCAGTTGTACGTTTGTCACGATATAGTTGCCAAATGTTATACGATATGGTTTTGTTCTTGTAGTGGGACAAACTGGAGCATAGCAATTTGATTCGTATGTCCAATTTTGACAACGTTGATACTGAAACAAAAATAGACGTATCCCCTATTGCCGGGAAACATTTCCTCGCGCTCGAAATCTTGAAACATAGAGACGGAGCTGCTGCCTCTACAACGATCACTTTTCCAACTGCTCACTGTCTGCACATGCAACCTCCGCGCCTGAGTTTGTGCTTCAAAGGCAGCGCGTATCTTATTTGGACTATGACATGTGCTATTATCATCACTGGGAACGTATGTCATTTGTCTATCTGTGGTCTGGTAGCATTTGTTTCTTTTACGGAAGTGCGCATCGCTCAACTTTGGAATGTAATGTTTGCTTATATTGTGCAATTTTCAATTCGTCGGAGGCACATTAAAGTTGCGGACTAGCTCTTCAACGTTTGCAGCGACGGACAGCAAAGCTCGGCTTAGGTTATTGACCTCGTATGCTTAAGTCAAATGCGGTGGACACTAAGCACATTAGGCCATCGATGATCAGGTGCGATTTAACCGCAGAGTTCACTGGTACTTACGTTGTGTAGAGCATCGTTCAGTCAGGTGCATAGCATTTGCAATGAGTTCCTGTAAGTGTGCATCGATGTAGCGGTCTAAAATGGTCTCGTAAGTAAAACTCTCTTGGATGTGTACCTGGAGCTTGCTGCCACCACAAACGTTTCCCATGGCTGTCAGACTCGGTGGGATTTTTCCTCAATGCCGCACGCATAATTTTGTAACTGAAAGTGGTTGTCGCAACCACCAAACATCTTGAATAGGGCTCGTGTCCACTGAGCACATTTCCTCACACGGCAATTTGTGACCACATGTCCCGAGGTTTGGAGGACGATTTTGAACGTCACCGGTCATCAAACGCTATCTGTTCAGGGAGTTCGACGCCTTGATTTCGATGATTCACTTCGTGCAAAGCCTGGCCGGGATCTCCTCGTTTCGACACGGTGGCTCGGCACACGCCACTGATTGGATTGCGTTGCATAACCTGATGCCGGCAATATCCAATGACCAGCATACCTACCTCCGCGGAGCCTGATGGCATCAGACCAGCGGCGGTGAAAAGGCTTGCAGAATTAAAGACCGGTGGTGAGTTGCAGCAATCATCGCCGCGTGTCGATTCTACCTTCTGATAAGGGCAACCGCAAGATATACAATGAACCCAAAATTGAACGGTATTTGCGGTTTTGAATGTCACAACACATCAGGCCCGCGCATAGCTTGTGTTATACTTCGGAGAAGTCTAGCAGCTCTAATCCATTCCAACTCCTGGTGTGACCGGCCTTGTCTGCGCTCATGTGCTCTAACGCACCAGACCATCAGACCAGCAGACCAGACCGTCAGATCAGGCCGTCAGACCATCCTGTGTTCTAACGCACCAGACCGTCGAACAACTCGCCGTCCCACGGCTAGCTCTCGGTTTACGGCACCGCTCATCACTCGCCATTAGGCCGCCAATTTCGGCCGGCTCGTGACGCCGCGGGGACGTATTGACAGATCACCGTGAAGGGGGGGGGGGGGGGGGCTTGCCTCACCGCGAGTGCCGTCATCACGGCAGCGCCCGGGCGGGAGACAGTCCGCAGGGCCCGCGGGACCGGGGAACGCCAGCCCGCGGGGCACGGCTGCGTTCACACGCGTGCCCGCCGACCACTGGGAGACGGGTGAAATGGTGGACACGGCAGCCAGCCTGCGCCCAGCTGCGGCAGAATGACAGCGATTCGGTGAAAGGCGCAGGAACTCCGCCTCGGCGACGTCCGGCGGTCTCCGAGGCGGTTGCGAGAACGGCGACGCTGACATTCCGTTTAATTACAAACCTGCCGACCTAGCACGCCGTTTCAGAATTTGCACTTCATCCGAGCACTAATTAGAGGAGGTAAAAATTATTATGAAAATGGAATGGCAAATATGTAAACTCAGGGATGTACCGCACCTGGATACTGCAGAGATTGACTCCACCGCTCCGTGCATCTGAACAGAATGTGTTGAAAGTGTTCGAACCCGCTATCCATGTTGGAAGTAAATTTTGAATAGTGACATTTTTTCTTCGTCCCTGATGAAAAGGAACAGTTTACTTTTTCTGTTGCACAACGCTACGACGCAACCACAACGTGTGAGGTGCACCTTCTCTGGATTGCTGTCATGTGGCTCGCCGAGCTAAACTCTCAACTGACCAGACGGAACGGCAGCCCCGGAGCGTCCGCGACTCGTTCAGTGACAGAAATACGACGCCGTCCCACGGCCGCCGCCGGCGAGTGCGACCGCGGTTGCTGAGCGACGCCACATTGACGTGTCATCCAAAACCGGCCGTCACACCGACATGCCATCCAAACCCGACCATCATGCTGAGGTGGCAGCCAAACACTGCCTTCAAAATCACGCCCGGCACGTCTAGCTGCACCACGCGGACAGCAAACCCCGGCGTCCGCGACACCCGCATTCGGTACGCGCTGCTCGGCGCGCCCCGCTCGGCCCGAAGAGGCGTCTGTGTCAACAGACAGGCGGCGGCGGCGGCAGCTCGGGTCAGCGGACGGCCGACGGCTCGTCAGACGGACGGGCCGCCGCCGCCGCCGCCGCCGCCGCCGCCCACGCGCCTCCCGCGGCCACTCTCCGTGGCCGAGCGGCCGAGGCGGTCGGCTCTAGCGACGCATCAGATAGTCCGACGATACCGGGATGGTACGCCGTTGTTGGTTGGTGTCAGCACGGGTACGGTCCTGGTGATGTCAGCACGGGTACGGTCCTTGTTGGTGTCAGCACGGGTACGGTCCGGGTTGGTGTCAGCACGGGTACGGTCCGGGTTGGTGTCAGCACGGGTACGGTCCGGGTTGGTGTCAGCACGGGTACGATTCTAGTTGGTGCCACTACGGGTACGAATGTGATTTCGAGTTGGGCGGCAGACTTGTAATTTTGTATTATATGTGATTTCGGATTATGCCGAATTCTCTGACGGGTTATGTTTGAATCTGCCAGGCGCTAAGACAATGGCGGAACGGACACAACAGCTATGTCTCCTTCACTGTGTGAGGTGTCTGGTGGTATACGTGTCATGCCAAAATGTGAAACAAGTTCCCGCCTCTTATCAACAGAGTTGCACTGTTTTGGAACATAATGAGCTTTTGGGGTTTGATGTTTAGAAGACTTCACGGACAAGCTAAACCAATAAGTACCCATATGGCATGGGTAACGGGCCGAGTTGGTTGTAGATTTTGGGAAAATTACTGGTATGGGTACGGGTGGGGTAAAATCACGTATGAAATCAAGGGCAAAAGCTTAAAAAAATCCCCACAATTTTACTGCTTGCGTTTATTTTAGTCCTATTAGCCCCACTCACTCTGCTTGGGCAACTACCAACGCAAAGGGTTAAAGAACAAGATCCCTTCTTTTCTTTAAAAGTTTTTTTAACTCTTCCATAAGTTAGAGCACAACTGCTCGAAAAATAATAACAAGGGGATGGCCGCAAGTGGATGCAACTGATTAGTAATGGGTAGCGGGTGAGTGTGGGCACAGCCCCATGGGTAGTGGGTGGATGAGTAAAGGAAATGGTACAAGCAAATGTCTCTATTGGCTGGGCCGCCCCCAACACACGTGGCCAGCTCGGCAGTGCGCGATCTGGCCACGCGCATCCCACCGCGCGCACATACAGGCTCCCGGGTATGCCTGCTTGGTCGGGCATATGCCTCCTAAGCAGGAAACGAAATTAGATGATAGATCTGTTTGGCTGGACGGCGACCGCAATCTTCTACACAAATTCGCCAGAATTGGGGGAATCATCTGTCTCATTTGGTTGCGATCTACTCACGCTTGTAATCCATATTTCATGGACACACGAACTGTGGCCGCTCTGGAGCTTTAGCCACTCCGTCATACACGCCCTTCAAACGACCGCAGACGTCCGCAAGAGAGAGAGAGAGAGAGAGACAGGCTCGTCCGCCAAAAGAGGCGGGCGAGCCTGTCAAGTCTGACAAACGGCAAAGGATGGACAGACTCCCAGGTAAGGACAACGGCCGAATGACAAACTGCATATCTGAGTAATTCCTATGACGAATGGTACGTCGGAGCGCGCGGCCCGCTAGAAAAACGGAAGGTCTCGGCGCCACCCATAATTGAAGCAAACTTAATGCGCTCATTCTGGGGCCGATAGACGCGATACCAAAAGAAAACCATTAGGCCGACATTAAAATGACAGGCGAACGTGATGGCATCGTCCGAACAACGCAAACGGAGTGGCCGTCAAAAGTCCTCATCGAGCATCGAGGTTCGTGGGGTTTCAACCAACTTGGGATGAATTGGAGACGCTGTCATGTGTTTTCCCGCAACAGGCTTAAATTTTATTAGCAGAGGACAAGGTCCCCATCCCACGATTGCCTCAGAAAGACGACCACAACATGAAGAGATTTCATTGCTCATCAAGTCGGATTCAGCACTGTTTTAAATAAAGTTGCAGTGATTTAAAGTCGAGTTGTTTGATCCTGCAACGGGGTAGAGCACTGCAATGTTCCGCGTTCCTGAAGTACCCTGGTGCCGTGCCCAGGCGCTCAGCGTACTTCTCGATGCGGCGACCTGGTACCAGCCAGCCGTCTTTGGTGTGCCCTCGACCCCGCACCCGACCGGATGTCACTCGCTTCCGCCCCGAACGGAACACGGTCAGGGCGACCGCCTTGACGTCAGGAAGTCGCTGGCCGCACCGCGGCTACGCACTGCTCCGCGCCCGTGGATCCGGGGTCCTCAGTTGTCGGGGGAAGGACCGTGGTGATGTGTGATATGCTTGGTGTAGATGGCGATGGACGTGATGTACAGGCGGTCATGGAACTGCTGGCTGGCTTTGATCTAGAACGGGGAAATTGGCCAAAGGATGCATAAGCCATGCGTCAGATATTTCCTGCTTAACGCGAACGATGTGGCTGCCGCCCTATCTTGCCCAATTCGAGCCCGACTGCTGGGCCGTGGGTAAGTCACGAAGGCATGTTTCCTCTTCTCTTCGAGTCGTCTTACCAACGCCCTCCAGCGGCTAGTTTCGGATGTCAGTGTCATGGTGGCCTTTGTTGCAGGGGCCCAATTGTCAGCTTGCCTCCCCACGGTGTCATTTGACGTCGCGACTTCCCCCGCAGCTGACTCCGTGACCGGCTGCACGCTCCAGTTCTGTCCGGCGGATTGGACAATCTCGCGCAGCCTTGAGTCGCAGGCACACCAATCACGGGCGGCGTGCGTGCCACAGACACATCTGCCCACGCCGGAGCCGCGCCGCCGCGGTCTCTCACCCCGTCTCGTGACGCCCCAGTTGACCGCAGCTGCCAGCTTGGCACAACATAGGAACCCCCGCCCCGCCCCGCCCTTCTGCCGCGAAACTGAAAGGGTTTCGATCGGCTCCTGCTGACAGCCTGGTGGGGCGACGCAGCTTGGGTCGCCGCTGGTGATTTACGGTCTGCCGCCCCTGAGTCAAGCGCGGTGGGTGTGAGCGGAGTGCGGCGCTGTCTGCGCCACGATCGCCACTTGTCCGTCACGCCCGGCTGCCATCAGGTTGGGGGGGGGGGGACGCTCAGTACGGAGCCTCCCGCCTGCTCGCGGGGCGGAGGTGCAGGGTCGCCCGTCACTCCCGACGGTCCGTTTGCTCTCCTCGCGTGGTCTCCAGAGCCGAGCGCCTGCCGCGCCGAGCCTCCATCCCACGCCGCAGAAAACGAGCGCCTTTTTCTGCGCGGGTGGCTGCACGAGCGCTGTTTCATCCCCTGCACAACGCAGCGGTCACTGTTAAAAAGCTGCAGGAGGCACGCCTGCGCATGTGATATCTCCCACAGTCTTACGCAAGTGTCCTCATGCGTCTCGCAAGAAAAGACAATATTTCAGCATTCCAGAG